CACTTGAGCCCAGAAGTTGGAGGTTGCTGTGAGCGTGATGCCATGGCACTCTACCCAGGGGGATAGCTTGAGGCTCCGTCTCAAAAAAGAAAAAAAAAAAGATGCTTGTTAGACATCTTAAGAAGAAATACAGGTAGACAGTTTGAAATGGAGGCTTGAAGCTCAGAAGAGAGAAATTAAAGCTAGAGAAATAAATGTAATGTGGAATTTATAAGCATGTACTATGTTTTATCAATTCCAAAAACAGGTGTTTTTTTTTTGTTTGTTTGTTTTGTTTTGTTTTGTTTTTGAGGCAGAGTCTCACTTTGTTACCTTTGGTAGAATGCCATAGTATCATAGCTCACAGTAACCTCAAACTCTTGGGCTTGAGTGATCCTCTTACCTCAGCCTCCCAAGTAGCTGGGACTACAGGTGCCTGCTACAACACTCGGCTATTTTTTAGAGACAATGTCCCGTTCTTGCTCAGGCTAGTCTCAAACTCCTGAGCTTAGGCAATCCACCCACCTACCTCGACCTCCTAGAATGCTAGGATTACAGGTGTGAGCCACTACGCCCAACCCTTGAAAATAGTTTTTTCACTTGAACTTCTCAGAGATCAGGATGCATCTTGTGATTCTTGCCAGCCAGGTAGCAATCATAATATAGTTATCATTTGTTGTTTGAGTGTGCACAGACAGATTGTAAGAATCAGACTTTGCAAGATGGACGTCAACAGGTTGGGGAAAAACTCTGGAGAGAACGTTGGAACACAGTTTTAACTCTCAAAAATGAAATGATCTAGCTGAAGGTAGAAGGGGAATGAACCATACACGTAATAGACTTTCCTCAAGAAGGAGCCAAAAGTAGTTAGCTTTACATAATTGGAACCCCAGTACTATTAGCTTCTAGTTTCTTTTTTGTTTGTTTGTTTTTTGAGACAGAGTCTCACTTCAGGGCCCTCAGTAGAGTGCCATGGCGTCACACTGCTCACAACAACCCCCAACTTGTGGGCTTAGGTGATTCTCTTGTCTCAGCCTCCCGAGTAGCTGGGACTACAGGTGCCCGCCACAATGCCCAGCTGTTTTTGGTTGCAGTTTGGCCGGGGCCAGGTTTGAACCCGTCACCCTCGGTATATGGGGCTGGCATTGTATCCACTGAGCCACAGGTGCCGCCCAGCTTTTAGTTATTTTAAGAAGTATATAGTTTATTTCAAATAGCTAGAAGAGAGGATTTTGAATATTTTCACAACAAAAAATGGTAAATGTTTAAGGTGATGAAAATGCTAATTACCATTATTTGATCATTATGCAGTGAATGATACATGTATCAAAATATCACATTGTACCTCATAAATGTGTACAATTATATGTTAATAAAAGAAGGAAAAAGAAATGCTGCATCACCAACACTCTGGCGTAGAGGATGGTATGCTGTGAGAAAACAGATTTCCCACAATTCAGAGGAGTTGTACACTGAATGTGAAGTTTTTTTTTTGTTTTTGTTTGTTTTTTTGAGACGGAGTCTCACTATGTCACCCTTGGTAGAGTGCTGTGACATCACAGCTTGCAGCAACCTCAAACTCTTGGACTTAAGCGATTCTCTTGCCTCAGCCTCCCATGTAGCTGAGACTACAGGTGCCCACCACAACGCCCAGCTATTTTTTTTGGTTGTAGTTGTGATTGTTATTTTGTGATTGTTGTTTGAGTTCGAACCCACCAGCCCTGGCATATGTGGCTGGTGCCCTTGCCACTGAGCTATAGGCACCAAGCCTGAATGTGGAGTTTTAGAAATACTTTAATTAGTTTATTTTGTTTCTATCTATTAGGATATGTTCATAAAAAGAGATATATAATAAAAATCTGCCAATATCTAAATAACTCAGTCATAAAAGTTATAAGTGTTAAAAAGCCATTGTATTATATACATAGTTTAATAGGCAGAGGTTTCTCTTACTGGTATTTTAAAAGTTTTTTTTTTTTTTTTAGTAGCGATGGATCTTAGATTTAGTAAAATACAGTAGGTGATAGTTTAAAGCAAGGGAATAGTGGGATTACCTATGCCTGAGATTTTCATAGAATCTACTGTGTACATAGCCTGCTTCACCAGGCTTCCTCTTCATCCTTTAGGACTTAATTCAAGGACTATAACATTGGAGATTTGGAAAGGTGGGATGGTGGAAGGAGAGAGAGGGATAAGAAATAGGCACAATTTAACTATTAAGGTGATGACACAAAAAGCTCAGACTTACCATGATGCATATAACCAAACTGCACGTGTATCCCTTAAATCTATAAAAGTAAAAGAAAAAAAATCTTTACAAAAAGGCATTGCATTCCTCAGAGAAAGCCTTTTCTGACACCCTCCATCCCACACTAGCTGAGTACAGAATTTAAAAATGAAGTCATAGGCTCGGTGCCTGTGGCTCAAGTGGCTAAGGTACCAGCCACATACACCTGAGTTGGCAGGTTCAAATCCAGCTCGGGCCTGCCAAACAACAATGATGACTGCAACCAAAAAATAGCTGGGTTTTGTGGCTGGTACCTATAGTCTCAGCTACTAGGGAGGCGGAGGCAAGAGAATTGCTTGAGCCCAGGAGTTGGAGGTTGCTATGAGTTGTGATGTCATAGCACTCTACCCAAGGTGACAGCTTGAGGCTCTGTCTCAAAAAAAAAAAAAAATGAAGCCATAGATAAGCAAAATGATGCTCGCTTAATCCTGTGATTTTATTTCTCCTGTATTTGTGTTTCTAGGGAGAAAAGAATATGGAGTGTCAGCCAGGTGTGGTGGTGCATGCTTGTAATCCTAGCACTCTGGGAGGCCCAAGTGGGAGGATTATATGAGGTCAAGAGTTTGAGACCAGCCTGAGCAAAAGCAAGACCCCTGTTCCTACTAAAAATAGGAAAAATTAGCTAGACATTGTGGCAGCTGCCTAGTCCCAGCTACTCAGGAGGCTGAAGCAGGACTATTGCTTGAGTCCAGGAGTTTGAGGTTGTTGTGAGCCACACTAATGCCATAGCACTCTAGCCTAGGTGACAGAGTGAGACTCTCTATCTCAAAAAAGAAAAAAAAAAAGAGGCTTGGTGCTTTTTGCTCAGTGGTTAGGGTGCTGGCCACATACATCAGGGCTGGTGGGTTCAAACCCGGCCCAGACCTTCTAAACAATGACAACTACAACCAAAAATTAGCCAGGAATTGTGGTGGGTACCTGTAGTCCCAGCTACTTGGGAGGCTGAGGCAAGAGAATCACTTAAGCCCAAGAGTTTGAGGTTGCTGTGAGCTGTAAGTGAAGGTGACAAATTGTGACTCTGTCTCAAAAAAAAAAAAAAAGAAATATGGAGTACTATATCAGGTATATATTCAAAAGAAATCCAAGAGTGATGGTAGGAATAGGACTTTAGAAATGAATCAGCAAAGAGCCATCTTAATTTTCTGGAGATTTTTGCTAACAAGATATTTTAATCCCCATGTCTCCTTACCTCCTTTTTTGTTTTTTGTTTTTAAGGGAATGCCAGAAAAAATGAGGGTAAAAGTGAGCTCTATTCAGGTAAATAAATTTATTTTCATCATGTTTCAGGATTTCATATACACATAGTTTAATTTCATCAAGAGAATACATACCTTTTCTTTTTTCCAAATCTTAAGTCTGTTGTTTCTACAAAGTTGAAGTGTTTGCCTTCTGAATTCATTCCAGTGATTTCAAATCCATTGGCACATCCTCTCTGTGGTCTCCTCTATGTATATGATTCTTCATAATTTGATTCTTGGTGTTGTCACCATGCATTATCTCATTTTAGAATATGTATATAGTAGCATGTACACAAAGTTTGACTATAATGAGATCTGTTTAAGAATCCACACCTAATTATATCATTATAGAAACTCCTGTTTACATATTTATTGTAGATAGTAATATAATAATATGTGCTCCTCTGTTACTTATTTTTGATGTTAAATTGCTAGTGTGGGAATGATAATAACATTTTTATTTCATAGTACTTTGTTCAGTTGAACAGCTAATTTTTTTTGACAGTATAATAAAAGGGATGTTTAGGACTTTGGGTACTTTCTGCTTTAAATGTTCTTAGTGACTGAGGTGAACCTGGTCTCTGATCTAACTCAGATGCTGCAAACTTTTCCTGGGGAAAGAAGGAATTAGAGAATAAGCTCTGTAAAATATTCAGTAAGTAATTTTCCTTTTTCTGTGCCTACAGGGAAAGAAATGGAACTGGTATTTGGACTATTTATTTTCAGAGGGGTTACAAGGCCTGAATCTTTTTATAAGAAGTAGTATTCATCATTCTTCTACCTCACAATCAAAGAGCCTAAACTTCACCAGTTAATATTAAAGACATGAACAGAGCGTACTGGACTAAATTTCTTCTTCATTGCTAGAGAGGCCAAGTAGCTCAACTTGAGTTTCCATATTTGTTTTATTAATAGACTGCCATCCTGAAGGAGTACTCAGGCTGGCCTTTTGTCTATGGATCAGAAAAGACTTGGTGTGCCTAACTTATTTTTTAGGATTTAAATTCTGTAGCTTACTAGTGAAAAATTACCTCTTCATGATTAGGTTTTACCATCTATCAAATTATACATAGGTGCAGTCTGTTTTGTGGCAAGATTTTTCACATATTTGTGTATTATGAGCTGCGTTGATGGAAGAGAGCAGGTAATGTACAGTGATGGTTAATCTACAGATGTACATATGCAAAATACTCTGCCACCTCTATGAAACCTCTGAGGATATTGCCATTTTTCTTACTCTGAACAAGAGCACTAGCACCAAGGTAACAGGATATAACATGTATAACTCTAAGAGCCCTAAATAGTTGGTGACTTCCTGGGCCTTTGCTGGTAATAATTTGATGAGTGAATGTAGGGAAGAGGATTGAGGGGTAATCAAGACATTCCTGTTTATACCAGTTGGATTTTATGAAACTTGTATTTTGTTTGTGTTTATCTCTCTCTAGTTTTTAAGCATTCAAACAAATAATTGCAATTTTACTTTTCAGAGGTAATTCTGAAGCTTCTTAAAATTTTCATAATAGCTAGACTATCTTGCTGAAAATTTACTATAAAATTTTGCTTCAGTATTTCTGAATAACTCTTTACTCTTTAATAAAATTCATATTATTTGAGAGAAATCAAGCTGAATTTATTTTTGTCTTTAAGTGCACATTCTGTGATTCTTTTTATCCCCCATCAAAAAAACCGCCAAACCATAAACTATATTATTGGATAGTGTTGAGACTAGAAAGTACATTCATCTATTTATTCATTTATTGATTCAATAAATATTTCTTGAGCTCCTTAGTACATACCAGGTATTCTTGTATGTGCTAGTTATGCAGTTGTGACCAGCACAAAAGTACCTCCATTTATGGATTCATTTATATTTCAAAGTAATGTATGGAGATTACATTTCAAAGGAAAAGACAGACAATATAAGCAAATATATAATATCAAGTGCTGTGAAGGAAAAAGCAGGGAATAGAGACAGAATATGTAGAATTTCGTCAAATGTTTGTTCTGCATTTATAGAAATGATCATGTGTTTTTTTTATCCTTCTGTGAATATGTTATATCACATGAATTGATTTGTATATGTTGAATCATTCTTGCATCCCTGTGTGATGAAACCCATTGGGACAGAATGTAGAGAAGGCTGCTATTTTAGATGAGATGTTTGGGAATGTCTGATTGAAAGGATGACATATACAGAGGTCCTAATGAAGTAAGCATATGAGCCTGGGCATATGTGGGGAAAGATGTTTCAAGGCAGAGGTAAAGGCAAGTGAAAAAGCCCTGAAATGTTAACTTACTTGGCATGTTTAATGATATAGCAGAGAGGCCAGTGAAGATACGACATAGTGATTAAGGGAGAAAAATGGTAAAAAATTAATTAGAGAAAACCAGGAACTAGTTCATGAAGCTCCTTATAGCCTGGCTAAATATGTAAATGGGAAGCCATTAGAGAGATTGAGAAGAGGAGTGGCATAATTATGGCATGTATATGGCATATATATTTCATAAAAATATGAAATAGGAAACTGCAGAGTGAAGGTTAGACTGAAGAGGATTAAGGGAGAAAGCAGGAAGACCAGTTAGGTTATTACAGTGCTCCGAGCAATAATCTTGGATTTGTTGATGAATGATGAGGGACGTGGTTCGATGTTGGAGAAGATAAGATCTGCATATAGCTTGGATGTGAGGAGGAGGAAAGGATGACTCCTAGATTTTTGACTTGAACTGGATGAATTCTGAGATGCAGAGATGAGACTTACTTGATGAAGAATAAGTTTGGAGGTGTGTGGAATTGAGTTCTGTTTTGGCCATGTTAGGATGGAGATGCTGAGTAGGCAATTGGATACAAAATCTGGAGGTCAAGGTATAATTTGGGACTGGGAAAATTAATTTGAGAATCATTGGGGAATAACTGTGACATTGGATCAGATTACCTAGTACAGCTGGATAGAGAATATGGCAAAAGATGGAGCCCTAGGTTATGCCAACATTAAGGAGAAGAGGAGAAGAGGAGGAACTGACCAAAAACTGAGAAGGCTCCACCAGTGAACTAGAAGAAAAATGAGACTGGTGGGGGTAGTATTTAATGGCATGAAATGTTGCCTATACACTTATAACTGGAAAAAAGAAGCTTTAGCTACTTTGAGATAAATGTGATTCCTTCTCCAGTAGGTAACCTTTCTCATTTAGAGATTTCTTTTTTGTTTTTGAGTTTGTACTCAAAAATATTTCCTATATTTTTCAGAGGATGATATTTTAGTCATTAAAATCATGTAGAACTCTCAATTGTGAGAAGAGATTTGATTATTTTTCATGCAACTTTTCATACCTTCAGGTCATTGAAGAAACATTTCTGTATTTAAATTTATGTTCCAGGAAAAAAAAGAATTCCCTTAATGCTTGTCTTTTTGTTCAATAATGATTCTGTGGGTAGCTTTTTTGCCCATATTTATCTTGTCTTGATTTTTTTTTTTGTAGTTTTTGGCTGGGGCTGCATTTGAACCCACTACCTCCAATATATGGGGCTGTGCCCTACACCTTTGAGGCCCCACTCCTTTGAGCTGCCCTTGATTTTTGTTTTTTGAGACAGTCTAACTATGTTGCCCTCGGTAGAGTGCTGTGGCATCACAGCTCACAGCAACCTCAAACTCTTGGGCTTAAGAGGATGATTGTAGAATTCAAATGGAATTGCAAGGGACTCTAAAACAATATTTTTTCAATATTATTTCAATAACCAAAATGGTATTAGAAAATATTAAAAGACTTACATTTCCACTGCAAAGCTACACTAATCAAGACAGTGTGGTATTGGTGTAAGGATAGACATATATCAGTGGAATGGCATTGAGAGTCCAAAATAAACCCATATATCTAGGATCAATTTAATTTTTCAGCAAGGGTACCAATACAGTTCAATGGGGGGAAAGAATAGACTTTTCAACTATTGTACTGGGTCAATACCGTAGATGAAAAGACTATTCTTTTATGAAAAGACTAATAGTATTTCAACTATGGTACTGGGACAACTGTATATACCCATGTAGAAGAATCCAGTTAGACCCCTGTATCAGAACATATATAAAAAGACAATGGTTCAAAAACTCTAAATATAAGATCTAAAACTATAAAATTCCTAGACAGGAGTACATCTTTGAGACCTTGAGTTAGGCAGTACTTTCTTAGCTGTGGTACAAAGGCACACATAATCAAAGAAAATAACTTAATCAAGATGAAAAACAAAGTCAGCTGAATAATAAAAAGCCCAATTTAAAAATGGGCCAAGGATCTGGATTATTTCTTCCCAGAAAGATATGTGAATGGATAGTGAGAACATGGAAAGATGCTGAACATCATGAACTACAACTTCACACCTTATAGGATGGCTATAATAAAAAAGACAATAGTTGGGTGGCGCCTGTGGCTCAGTGAGTAGGGCGCCAGCCCCATATACCAAGGATGGCGGGTTTAAACCCGGCCCCAACTGAACTGCAACAGAAAAATAGCCGGGCTTTGTGGTGGGCTCCTATAGTCCCAGGTACTCAGGAGGCTGAGGCAAGAGAATCATCTAAGCCCAGGAATTGGAGGTTGCTGTGAGCTATGTGATGTGACGGCACTCTACTGAGGGCAATAAAATGAGACTCTGTCTCTTAAAAAAAAAAAAAGACAATAGTTATTATTGGTGAGGATGTGGAGAAATTGACATATTCATACATTGCTTTTTGTTTTTTTTTTTTTTGAGACAGAGCCTCAAGCTGTCCCCCTGGGTAGAGTGCCATGGCTTCACTGCTCACAGCAATCTCCAACTCCTGGGCTCAAGCGAGTCTCCTGCTTTAGCTTCCCAAGAAGCTGGGACCACAGGCGCCTGGCTATTTTTTGGTTGCAGCCATTATTGTTGTTTGGCAGGCCCGGGCTGGATTCGAACCCACCACCTTAGGTGTATGTGGCTGGTGCCTTAGCCACTTGAGGCACAGGCGCTGAGCCACATTGCTTTTTGGATTATAAAAAGTGAGGCCACTTTGGAATAGAGTTTGGCAGATCCTCAAAAATTTTAAACAAAGTTACTATATAACCCAGCAATTCCACTCCTGGATATATACTCAAAAAAAATAAAAACATGCCCTCAAAAACTTGAACACAAATGTTTATAGCAGCATTATTCTTAATAGCCAGAAGATGAAGCAACTCAAATATCCAACTATGAATGAGTAAAGTACACTATATCCATATACAGTACTGTTTGGAAAAAAATGAAGATGTGGTACATATTACAGCATGGACAAACCTCAGAGACATTATGCTATGTAAAATAATCCAGTCACAAAAAGCACATAACATATGGTTCCATTTGTATGAAAATATCCACAACAGGTAAATCCTATAAAGATAGTAGTTAGGCCCCTGCCTAGGACTGATGGGGACAGAGTGCCAGGTAATCAGTGAGTGCTGTTCTAGGTTTCTTTTTGAAGTAATAACAGTGTTTTAAACTCTGAAGGTATTATAAAAGCAATGAATTATACAGTTTAAATCGGTGAGTTGTTATGTAAATTATATCAAAGCTGTTTAAAGATTTGTAATGACTATTTCAACTCCCACTTTGGCAAAAGATGAGTAATCTTAAAGATCTTGTGTTTGCTGAATGATCATCATAACTGTATAATAGTATAAAGAAAAAATTATTGTCATAAAATCATCTGTTTTTCTATCTCATGCTTTGCTCTTTTCTAGTCTGGGAAGTTAGGAATATTCAGAGAGAATTGTATGTGGTAATTATGCAGCTCTTAAGTACTTGTAGGAATTCTTAAAGGTAAATATCAGATTTACATACTTATTTG